GGAGACTACGACTACACAAAAGGCCACACCATCTTGGTGGCCCGCCCCGTATTTTTTGTTCTATGTTCTAGTGTCGCATCTCTTTCTCTCAACCCCACTTTATATGGCCCATCTACTTATTCACACAATTATATCCTCCAATATCGCCTAAGATTGTCGCTATAGGTGGGTTTAGTGAAGCACAATCATCTTTACCACCGGTAAAAGATGCTGTTTGCAGGGCTCCTGACCTATATTCTGCCCTCTCTAGCCGTTGCTAAACATCAAAATCACTGTTTGGCTGTCTGAAATCTGACTATCTAAGAGCCAAGCTAAGATAAAGGAGATTGCGATCAAACAGAATACCACATCATATTGGTCTTCATATCTACTAAAATAAGTAGAATTCAATGGCTTCATGAGGTCTATAAACTTAGTTGTGGTGAATTAGACTATCATTCCTTACATCACTTTAAGCGACCTTTGGTGACTCAGGTTTTTATTCAAATAGTAGTAGATCTTGATTGGAGACGGTGGCGTCTTAAGGATCTGAGCCGTAGTTCAAAGCCAACTCACTTTTTCAAAATGCCATCCTGGAAAAGACGAAGAGCCAGAATCTGGAAATTAGATTCGAGACCTGGAAACAGAAACAGTTAGAGTAGTTAGGTGTTACAAATAAAAACATTTATCTCAATAAACACTTGATCTCACTTGGGAACAACTGAGCGGCCAGATCAGCCGCACAATAAATGCCACGTTTGGCTGTGAAATCGGTACTACTTTTAGAAGTAGTAAGCTCTTTTTCAGACTCATTTAACATCGGAGACTGAAAGTTCTGCCGAAGCCGGGCTAGATCAGCCAAATGAAGCGGGATGAAGATGGGGGCTCTCAATGGGTCGTCAGAGACGTGGCCATTTGAGTAGCCGAATGGATAGCACGGTGCGGGGTAAAAATTAAATCCGGCCTTTGTAGCTCGTGAATGCCATTGAGAAAGCTGAGGGAGTGATAGGAGTAATACGTCGCCCAGAAGAATAAATGAGGGTATGGAAGGCAATAATGTCGAGAGATGGCCATTTAAATATACAATATGTTATTTTAATAACAAAGGACAGTGATAAATAGTAAAACATGCTCGAGGAATTATACCAAAATTGATTAAATAATGTCCTCGTTCATTTGCCGACGAGAGAAAGGACGCAAAATGGATTCTCTTGAAACTATAATTTCTAACTATCAATGACTGAGAATAAATAAACCGGAGTGCTCACGCGAGGCATCTACGTTAATCTGTCAAAAGTAAATGATAAAATAGTTTAAAGGTATTCACAACAGGCGTACATTACTTAAAAAAAGTAGATAATCGACGGGAACAGGAAATTAGGGTAATATCAGCTGGTGGCTGTTGATTCCCCCACTAATTAAATTTGTATAGGCTCTTGGATTGTGACTCTCTC